ATTTCATTTTATTTATTTTATCATAAAAAAATTTTACTTTATCTTTTAAGTTTCTTTTAAAGATAATATAAATAAATATAAAAATTATCTCTAAATTTTTAATTTAAAAAAAATTAAAAAATAATTATTATTTTAAGATGGATGGAGTAAATATATATATAGTAATTTTTCTCAAATAAGAGTAGAAGCTCTTAAATTTAGATTACGAAAAATGCAATGGTAGGATAGAAAAAATTTTCCTTCCGTTGTGAAATTAAAAATAAAAAACGTAAACATAATTAGGGGGTGATTGGTTGAACATTTTTTTTTTTTGTAGATTATAAATACTTTTTTCTTTCTCTCAAGTTTAAAAAATTGCATTTTCCTCCTTTTTTTTTTTTTAATTTATCAGAAAAAAAAAGTACTTACAAGTAAGCTGAAGAATAACATCTGCCAAATATATTTTTAATTTCCTTAAATTTAAATTCCTTTTGCACAAAAAAAATAAATAAATCTTTTCAGTTTTTATCCTTTTTATTCCTGTTCTAATTTTAAGCAATCATTATTCAAGAGGGGAACAACAAATCTGAAAATAGGTTGGAAGAAAGTGCATGGATGACTTTGTGATGTTCAAACAAAATGCAATGTTTCCAGTACATCATCTCGAGTGAAAGGAAAACAAGATAAGAAACTGAGGACCATCTTTTCTTTTTCTCAAAGGACACATTGGCCCATCTATCCTCTTTTCCACTCACATCACTGCACTGATTGAGCCATTTCTCCAAATAATGAAAATGCAAGTGGTACCCAAATTCCCTTCTCCACTGCCTCCTCTCTCCTAAAAAAGGTATGGTCTCTCTTGGCCACTCATCTTGAAACTTCATTTTATCTTCTGTCCAGAGAAATTTGAGATACTGAGTTTGGGCCTTTTTATATCTATATAATATTGGAAATATTCCACCTAAAAATGATTATAGAGGCCCAAATTTAATCCATATGATCTTAAATTGTTGTAAGTTTAAATGATGTGGAATAATATCACTTAACAGGAGATACTAAAAGAAATTATAATTCTCTTGTGCACATTTCTCAAGTTTTTAAGTTTAAACCAGATATTTTTATTTTTTTTTTAAAAATGTTAGTAAGTTAATATTTTATTATTTAAACTGTATGAAAATATAAAATATGAACCATTAGCTGAGAAAAATCTATCCCATCAGTAAAGGGCCTTATCTAATGGTTTACACTTCTTCTTATCTGAAAAAACAGGACCACTAGAAAGAGAGTGAAGGACACTGAGTTTTGTCCTGCAACCTTTCTGATGTTGAGTCAATCGTTGAGTTTATTTAGTAACTTACTTTGAATGTAAAAGTGAAGAGTATGTTTCGTTTGAAGTAAATGATGGAGCGGGGAGAGAAGGGTCTGATTGGATGAAAAATCTTGCCCTACATTCTCTCTATTTCCCTTAAAGCAAATAAATAAGGTTGTGTTTAATTTACTAGTGTCTCTCTATGTTTACATGTCAAAGAATTGATGCTATTTGGGGTTTTGAGAGAGATTCATGATGGGCCAGTGGGATGCTGTTAGCTGGTTAGGAGCCTGACCCATATGCCTTGGACGTGTCTTTTGTACGAACGTCGGATCACTCAGCCCACTAGGACCATTGACATCCTACTGCTTTGAGATTATAATCAAGGATGCAAAGAGACTCATCAAGTGAATTAAGGGCATGTCTAGTAAAATTTGTAAGAGTTTTAATTTTTTAATATTATTTATATTTCATAAATTTAATTTTTTTTAAAAACTCTTATATTTTTAATTTTTTTTAATTTTAAAAAAATTTTAAACAATAAATTTTAAAAAATTTTAAATTTGTGCTTTTTATAAATTTATTTTTTATTCATTTCTTACTCACTTTTTTCTATTTCTAAAAGCAAATTTTAAATTTTTCCTCCTATAAAAATTTAAATTTATCACTTATAAACGATATAACTAAAAACTCTTACAAATTTTTCTATTTCTAAAAGCAACTTTAAAATTTTTCCTCTAATAAAAATTTAAATTAAAATTTTTCTTCCAATAAAAATTTAGACTTGTCACTTATAAACGATACAAGTAAAAACTCTTATAAATTTCACTAAATATGCTCCAAGTTTTGGAATTCCTTCTCGAGCTTCTATCTCTTCCACTAAAGGGGATTAAAGGAAACATGGAATGGGAAGATGTGTTCCAAGAACAAACAAGATACGGGTTGAGAGCTTGAACCAATAATAATAGGTTATATCCCCGATTCAGTCCCTGAACTTTCATTTTTGGACTAAAAATACCCTCAAACTAAAAAAAATACTAAAAAAATCTTTAAACTTCAATTTTTGAAACCATTTTAGTCCTTCCGTCGACGGAAGTGCCAGATGGCACGTTAAGTTGCCACGAAATCAATTTTGGTTGAAAATCTTAATAACCTGTAAAATAAAATAATATCTTTTTCACCACCGTGGCATTTTTTCATTTTCACATCAGTAATAAAATTTTACAGACATTTTCCACTCAATTTTCCTTCGCTTTCCTATAAACCAAACAACAAAAATTCATTCCATCCAAACTAAATTCAAATCCCGAGGCTTCGAACCATCAAATCTTCTACAAAACCACCAAATTCAAGCTACAAAAAACACTAATATGGAAAAAACTCATTGCTTTGCACCACCAAATTCCGAACAAAACGACCAAATTCATCTCTAACCCGCACATCGATTCCTCGTAGAAAGGACTTCATCTCTAACCCGCGCCTGGGTTCCATCGAACCCAGGCGTCCTGGGTTCGACGGAACCCAGGACGCCTGCGTTCGACGAACCCAAGCGCTGGTGCTGGGTTCCTTCGAACCCAGTAGGGAGGGGAAGGAGAAAAGGATAGAGAAGGAGAAAAAAAGAGGAAAGGAAAGAAAAGAAAAAAAGAAAGAAAAAAGCTTGATTTCGTGGCAACTTAATGTGCCATCTGGCACTTCCGTCGACGGAAGGACTAAAATGGTTCCAAAAATTGAAGTTTAGGGATTTTTTTAGTACTTTTTTTAGTTTGAGGGTATTTTTAGTCTAAAAATGAAAGTTCAGGGACTGAATCGGGGATATAACCATAATAATACGTATATTATAGACAACAATGACTATAAAAAATTAAAAATCAGCTATTCCATTTGCCGTCCCTTCGGAGTTAAGAGTTGTCCACTACTAAGCAGTATTTGCTAGATTTGAACTACCAAATCAAAACACCCATTCAAACATGATAAAGAAAAAACAGAAATGCACAACTCCAGGTATGTGAAAATTTAAAAGAGAAGCTTGCTCAAACAAGCCTTATATATATTAACCATAAAACATATACACTACAATTCTCACAATCAATTGCCATCTGACTATAAAACTTGTATCGGGCCATACATTGTGAAGTAGAGGTGACACTGAAAAATCAAAGCAAAAAGTAGAAAGCGGATTTGAGGAGAGAATTCAAGAGGGGGAACACGGAGCCAAACATAAAGCAGATGTTCATTGGTCTTAGAAGAAACATGGTGCATTGTCATCCTCAACACTCTTTTTCTTTTCTTCATAGCTTTCAGGACTGGAACATGCAGCAGCCCCAGCATACTGTAATTTCTCAGTTTTGTTTGTCAGTAATCTTCTGCAGGAGATTTCTGAGCATCATAGGTCAGAGCCATAGCAAGGCTTATCACAGAGGCCTAGAATTTTCTCAATCCATCTCCTGTCAGAGGATTCTGTTCTTCTCACTAGACTAAACCAGGAACTTTTCAAAAATTACTTCCCATTTTTTCTACCTGTAAATAAAAACCATTGGTAAATCTATCGTGTTGCCAAGATTAGAAACCTGCTTTAGAAGATAAGGCAGTTGGGTTCAAGCAAATTGTAGTAAATAAGCCAGCCTCATCATCAATATAAATTAGATTGCTTTTCATTGCCCTCACTTCTCCTTGAAGCAGTATTTAGTATCCCATGAAATGGGTAAAGAAGTAGAGCTGAAACTTATGAGACCAATTATATCAAATATAAAAAGTAATAATGGTCTAACCATACTCTGTCCCCAGCTATCAATTATTTTTATCTATATTCATTTATTGGACAGATTGACTGACTATGGTTTCAAGCAATCATTAATTAATCCAATGAGTACAATATGGCTCAGAAGCAAAATTCAGACATGAGAAAACCACACAAGTTTAGCTGGCAAAAGATATAACCTTCTATTGAAAAAAATTTACTGCAGTTGTTTAAGTTTTATACCTCTTTGGATCCAGGACTTTCGAATTGCCTGGCGGATCTGTCGCTCATGTTTTTGTAAGAGTTCATCAATCCTATGTGACTGAGACAACAGTGGTCCAGAAAATTCAACTTTATCCCCTTCATCTTGGAAATCCTGTAATCAAGGTACAAAAAGCGTAAACAAAATCAATTTAAAAGCACGCCTTGGGGTTCATAATGATTTGATTTTGGCCAATAAATATTAACCAGGTAATTAAAAAAAAAAAAAGGAAAAAGAAGAAGCAAAAGCAACATTCAATTGCTGAAGGTGAAAGATACATTTATCAAAATGAGCTCTCTTCTTTTTGTTTTCATTTTACCTGCTTTGAGTAAAATGGAGAAAAGGAGAATAATTGCAAAAGACTTTCTAAACTGTGCCATCCAAGACATTTTAAGTAAATCAGTTTCATGCTTTAGTAAAAAAATATTTGTAAGTAGAAAGTTTCTGCTTGCAACCAATTTTTCTAAGTTCTAAAAATTTCCAGACCTATAATTGCTATCTATCAAAAACTTTTGTTGTACTTACCATCATTACATTTTAAGGGATCCACCCATCCCCCCATCTTCCCCACCAATACCAGCACTATGAAAACCCATGTCTGCCTCTCAAAACAACCAATATCACTCTCTCTTCATTGTACCCCAACCATTAAAATGCCTAATTTATAGAAATAATAATGATTATCTGCCATCATAAGAATAATTCTGCAGTTTTTGAATCCTTTTGATCTTCCAAAATAATAATGATGAGAGAAAACCAAGAATTATTATTACCAAAAAGGATGAAGAGAAAAGTGAGAAGACATCAAGCAATTCAAGTTTATAATGAGAGATGCCAATACTATGACTTCTCATAAACACATTTGGACAGTACTAGTTTGCAGTTAAACAAGCAAACAAAAATGAAAAAGAAGAAAGTTAACCTAAATAGATGGAGCCTTGTTGATCCATGTAATTAACTCAAATCTAAGTAAGCATAACAGCTTTGCCTTTAAATGTTTGAAATTTCAACAAATGCCTGCAATTTTCTAGTTTATTTTCTATTAACCATTTTAAATCTAGATGATCTCTAGATTTACAAGGTTCATGGAAAATGGTATAAGATGTTAAGAACAAAACTGAGTGTCATTTTTTGTTCTAATCTAATATTTACAAACATACCAAATTACTTCTCTTGGTTGCCATTGCCTCTCTTTGATAAAGTGCCAATGATAGTTCCTGTGAGTGGTATTCATCAGAAGCATCAAAGGAATCTGGACGATCAAACTGGCTCCATTGTTTCTGTATAGAATGCTTGGAAACTTCATATTGATCATGCTCTCTAGAATCGGTGCGGCCTCCATGTTTAACATCCACATTCTCACACTTCTTAGAATCAAAATTATTTCTGTCATGCATTAAAGCAGATGGCTCTAATGCATTATGAATATTACCTCTTGATATTGACCTGGTGTGGGATTTTGTGCATACTTCATCTTTTCGTCTTTTTGCCCAAGCAAAGCCACTTGACATGGATACTTGTAATGGTCCTGAGAAGGGAATATCTCCTTGTGAAGCATGCTTAACATGGCCACCATCCTCTAGTGCATCAGATGGTGGTTTTGACACCCTATCATTGAATGTAGCACTTCCTTGTTTAACGTTATAGACATCATTGCCACTGATTTTTTTATCACTTTGAAATTGAGCTACTGCATCCTGTAAGTAGAAAGAAGTTGAATGGAAATCACTGTGGTAATTATAAGCTCCCTCAAGTATAAATACACAGAAAAATGAAGGGACCTCAATTGGTGCCAGTTTGGTTGTTACTTGTGGTTTTCTTATTGGCTTCCTTATTTCAGGCCCACGAACTCTACCACTGGTCTTTTTCCTGAAAATTCAATGATTTATAATGTATTTATCAAGATGATATGGAACATTGTTGTGTTGTTTACAGAACAAATATGGACTTCAGTGGTGATAAATGTCAAACGGATGTGAAGCAGAGAGGACAAATCTAGGTTCAGTAAAGCTATCTGTATCAATAGTTTACTCTAATTTGAAATAATAGCACTACAGAATTTGACGCGAGAGAGAGAGAGAGAGAGATTAAACCTCTTTGCCTCTTCATGATACTTTGCATCAATCTCTTTACTAGGTGGATAACTTGGCAAGCTTGATGGATCACATGCATAAGGTTTTGTTGCAAAATACTGAAAATTGTAAATAAAGAATATGGCATCAAAATAACCCTAGTGATGGAATTTGAAGTTTCTTCAAGGCATAATATTTGCATAGGCAAGTAGACTACCATCCTTAAAGCACTAATAATGTGTTAGCTAAGAGAAAAGAAGAATTAGAAGGCATGGAAAATGGTAGTTGATGAATAAGAATAAACAAAATAATTTATCAATGAAATATATATGGAAGTTTATAATAAAAAATAATTCTCCCTGCAATTCTGAATAACAGACCACCCATTTAAATGAGATATTGTAATCATGCTAGTATTGCTATGCATTATTACCTCTGATACAAGAGCAGAGGAGGCAGTGCCACGCTTGTCTGGCTCTACTGAAAGCAAAGTCTCTATCAAGTTCACAGCTGATGCTGGCAAATCTTTAAAAGTCTCCCGAAGACAACTATCATAGCGTTGCTGTGGTTTGAATAAAGTTGCGTGGGGAAGTTTGGATTTTTTCCAGTAATCTTCTGGTGGGGACCCACAAAGTTTGAAAATTTTATGTAGTTGCTCAACCTGCAGAGAATTTTAAAGATAGTTACTTCACTAGTCCCTAATTGTGTATCATCATGATCAACAAGTATTGTCTGTTTCTATTTGAGAATTTAAAAAATAAATAAATCTAGAGTGGGGACAACTTATGAACAACCTACTACCATTTATGCATTGTCAGGTTCAGCTGCTCAATATATATACCTCCACTGTAACTATAGCTAAAAATCAAGATAGAGCTCACTTAATATTTTTCTTCTTTTCAACTAGAATGATTTATCCATCTAAGTAGATTATGGGCAGCAAGCTTACTTCATCTCATCTTTTTTATATATTTAAAAGTGGTCTGCAAGGCACCACCATGTGATTACCTCACTAGGGAAAATGGTCTACAAGATCATAGAGAAGACTGGTCAATTATGCGCTCTAGTCACCAATTAAATGTGCCCCTGGTCAGAGTGACATATTGTAGGCAAAGTTGAAGAAGTGGCTTCATTTCAATGTACCTTTCAAATCCTTATACTCAGTCTAAACCTGCCAATCAAATCTGACCTCAGATTACAATCTAGTATGGAAGGTTAGAAAGCCTAGAACAGATAGCTATTCCTTGCTTTGGAACCATTATAGAGAGTTGATGTCAATCCCTCCTAAGGCTGCAACTTGCCATCAAATGATCAAAAGCAAATTTTGCTCAAATCACATCTCTTTGTTTTCTCATCAATAATCATTCCAATTTTCAAGAGAAACAAATTAAATAATATAAAAGCATGTAATTTGAAAAATTAATTATACCTCTGTTCTCCCTTGAAGTATAGGTCTTCCAAGAAGAATTTCAGCAAATACACACCCAACACTCCACACATCCACAGCGGGTCCATAATCTGTAGAACCTAGAAGAAGTTCTGGAGGACGGTACCATAATGTTACCACACGACTTGTTAGGGGTTGCCTTTGCCCATAACTACAGAAGTTTGCCAACCCAAAATCAGCAACCTTTAGGATTCCTTCATTATTTATGAGAAGATTTGATCCTTTAATATCTCGGTGCATTACACCCCGTGAGTGACAGTGATCAATTCCCGATAACAACTGCTTCATGTAGCATTTAATCTACCAAAAGATAAAAAAAAAGGTCTGCTTATTACAGAAGTAGACAACCATTAGTAGAATGTCAAAAAGAAAATAGTCGCCTTATTACACAAGTATAACAACATCAACAGATTTGTTGGCTTTTGTGTACAGTGAGAAATATATTAGTCATCCCACTAAAGTCACTTAAGCGTTAATTGCTGCCATTCAAGCTGCTCTTGAGCATTAGACATATTTACTTATCTTTCTCAACATTTATAAATTAACTTCAATCTTAACCACATTTTTTTAGATATTTTGATTCCTTACTTTCTATTCTATTTTATTCCAAATCACATTTTGGTATTCTGATAACTTTCTATTCGATTTTACATAAGAGAAAAGAAAAGAACCACCATATCCAAACTTGGCCTCTAAACGTATGTGATAGAACATTAGAAAAGCCTATCCAGTGGCAAAATAAACAAACCTGTGGCTCAGTGAACTTGATGTCAGGAGAAGATAAAAGACCAGTGACGTCATGCTCCATATACTCAAACACAAGGAATAAGCTGCATGACAATCTTGAAGTAATTATACCATCCAATTTTATGATGTTAGGATGGTTAAGCCGGCGAAGAATCAGTATCTCTCTTGCCATAAATCGAACACTCTCAGGCTCAAAATTGTCAAACCGCACCTTCTTCAGAGCAACTATCCTCCCACTTTCAAGGTCTCGAGCACGAAATACACTACTATATGTACCCTGCCCTATCTGTTGAAGCAATTGAAAAATGTATAAATAAGATAACAGAAGTAATGGCAAATTTCAACACAGCCACTAGTTAATGCCAGGAAAAAATAAGGAAACAACAATTTATAAAGGTTGAAATAGAATCCATCATAAGTGGTTAACAGCTTAAAGAAACGTGAACAGATAACTGATGTAAAACTTCCACTCCTGGGAATAGAAGAGTAAGAAGATCCAAGAACCATCTGAACACAAAACTCATGTTAGCAGAGTTTAGTCTAGCCAAAAATACTCAAGTTAACCTTATAAAGTCCATGGCAGGAGAAAAGAAACCAAACAAGTAATTATACCGATTACAGAGCAACTGTAAAAGCAGAACCATAAAATAGCTACAAGCAGAATTGAATGTTCGCAATCACTCAGAAATAAAAGCAACTCATAAAATTGATGGGTTACTAACACGTAGAGTTTGGAATTGTAAAAGCAGAACCATAAAATAGGTACAAGCAGAATTGGGTGTTTCACAATCACTCAGAAAATAAAAGCAACTCATAAAATTGATGGGTTACTAACGAGTTTAGAAACTTCATTAATTTTAATCCCACAATAACACTTCATTCCCAAAATGTCAATACACATTCATAGTTCCAGCCTTCTTTTAACAAAATCAAGATTCTTACTTTCCCAAAAATTCTTCGTGAAAAAGTGAAGAACATAAGCTTCCTATTGGTAAGCCAAGGCACCAGAAAATTAACCACACCCCCCCCCCCCCCCCAAAAAAAAAAAAAAAAAAAAAAAAAAAAGAAGAATGAGGTTTTGAAAAATACAAAAACAGACAAAAATTCAATTTTTTAACTCAAGAAACACAATCCCACAACAGGCAACAGAAATAGACATCAAGAACCTGACAGAAAAACAGAAATTTATTTAAAACTCAAGCAGTTCATGACCAGCCAGGCCTCACCCACAAGATCATCAAGAATCAAAATGCGGAAAATAGAGAGAAAAAGAAAACGAACCTTCTCAAGCTTCTCGAAACCATCAGCTCGGAGGGGGACCCAGCCATGGATGGCCTCACCGGCGACAGCGCTGAGCCAGGCGGGCCAGCCAGCAGCGACTTGCTCGGCTTCAATGTACTTGGACAAATTCCCAAGTCTCAAGCTCAGGGAGTCGGACCTCGAACTACCCCGTCCAGACTCACCCAACTCGCTCCCACTCAGCCCCACACCGATGTCGCTTGCGGTCTTACTACTGCTCTTTTTCTTCCTACTCCCATTCCTCTTCTTCTCAGCATCCGAAAACCCAAACCGGGACCGACCGGAATTGTTCCCCGTACCCGCATTATCCCGTAATCCCCCTGAGTGGTCGAAAGCAGGCGTCACCGATACCGCCTGCTTCGAACTCACACAACCCATTAATGCCAAATAAACATGTGCTCAAGGGACTCTTCTTCCCGGGTCTCTCCCCCCTTCCAGCCACCAACCCAGCTTGTCCCGGATCTGGTTCCGGTATAAAAACACCCCACCTGCGTCCCAGCCCCCCCCACTTTCTAAATTCTTCTCCCTAACTTTAAAGCTCGAAAAGAGTGGAGTGTGTTGCAAAGGGAAGCATAGAAGCCATGTTATATACCATAAATCCCAAACCCAAAATTTCCCTCACAAATTGATTTGTTTGTTTCCTTCTTCGGTATTGCCTTTTCTCTGAAGCGGCAATTGCGGAGGAAGACGGAAACAGGATTTTTTAATGCGGCTCCCAAGTCAGGGCCCAGCGGAATCAACGGAAAGACGAGATTTTAGTGCAAAAATAGCGAAAAAAGGGAAATGACTTTCGTTTGTAATACGTTCGCAGCATTTCTTGTTCGTACATGTGAAGAGAAAGCAAAATGGGCTGGCAAAGTACAACACAACACCAACCCAAAGTTCACTTTCAAATGTTAAGTAATAGTTTCGTCAGATATAATTTAATTGACGTGATTTTTAAAATTTTTAAATTGTATAATAAAAAGTAAATTTTTATATTTTTTAATTTATTTTAATTATATGTTATATAA